CCATATGTATTATGTATTCACTACGGTAGACTTATGTACCATATATGGTAGACTTTATGTACCATTAATAGTAGACTTATGTACTATATATGGTAGACTTATGTACCATATGTACCATATAAGTAGACTTATGTATCTGATATGGTAGACTTATGTATCATATATGGTGGTTATATCACGTGCATAGAACTGCTTACATGATTAAAGTTTCTTAACATGATCATTATACAAATATAGGCTTGGTCAGAAGCTAAGTAAAAGACTTTTAACAACAACAAATATATTTATTACATATGGGGATTATTAAAGTAAAAGAGTGCAAAGTACATTAATTACGCTCACCACACACGATCAAGATTGGCATGTCGCACGATTATGTCCGTCTTGGCCACACTTGGAACACTTGTGCTCTTTCCTTGGACGTTTATTCTGCATTGCTATTTCTAAGGCACTTTTCATTCGTGATATTTTTGGCCTACCAGGTGGTTTACGAACAAAAGGAGGCTTACAGACTTTGTTAGCCACTTCTTCAGGTACAGGTAAAGCGACATCTCTTGGCATTATCGTCCCCGCGTATGCCGACGAAAGGTATGACCTACGGTAGTAAGGATGGGCTAGACTGATACGGGAAATTTTTTTAGCTTCCGCTGCAGCAAGGGCATGGACGCATGGTATTTTATCGATGTCAAACCGTCGGCAAGTACATGTTTTCCTTTCCAAATTGACAACATGTAAGGATGAGACACCGGTGACCTATGCAAGATGGTCGTCGATTTCTTGCACTGCTAGTTGCTTTGCTCCTTCGACCCTTTCCTGTACGCAAAATATGTAATTAAGTCTATCGTATTAACCAATAAATCTACCAAACTGTAGAATATGTCTACCAAAACTATACCCGTAGCAATTTCTCGACACCATAAGTAAGCTCCGTCTCCATCACATATGCAGCTTGGCGCCTTTTGGCAAACCACCTAGTCAAAAGCGATCTAATCTCCTCCAATAGTGTCACAATTGGGTAACTTCTAACCTTTGAAAGGACCTTATTTAAAGACTCCGCTATGTTGTTAGTAGTGAAGTTGTACCTCTCTCCCGGAAAATGAACACGGCTCCACATCCGGACATCCGCTTTTTGTAAGTAGTTATATAGTCCTCGGTTACACTCCTGAATCTGTGCCATTAAGACATTGAAATCTGAAAGCCTATATGGGGTTGCTGCTTTCTTGACAAGGCGAAAATCTTCCCCACCTTTATATAAATTTGACCAATATATTCTTGTGCAAATGATATGTGCAAATACCACGCGAAGCAAGAGGGTAAATCTTTTTTATAGCTTTCCCAATAGATCTATGTCTATCTGAAATCATGGCAAGTCCTTCATCATCGGGTATAACTCGATGTAGTTGTGCAAAGAACCATTCCCAAGACTCATCATTCTCAGTATCAACGATACCGAAAGCAATTGGGAAAATATTAAAATTGCCGTCTTGCGTTGTGGCATTGAGTAGTGTACCTTTGTATTTACCTGTTAAGAAGGTGCCATCAACCACCACTACTTTCCGCATATATGGAAACCCCTGAATGCTCGCACTAAAGGCAAGGAACATAAACTTGAACTTGTCTTCCGAATCCACTTCGAGCTTGATGAGTGTTCCTGGATTAGCTCGTCTAATCATGTATAAGTAGGATGGAAGGTCCTCGTAACTGTCCTCTGAACTCCCAATCACTAGTTCGCGTGCATACTTCAATACACGATAAGCTTTCCAATACTCCGCCTATACATCATACACGATTAGTCTATCTACCAAACCATTGGAAACAAATCTACCTAACTATTAATAACAAATCTACCAAACTATTGCAAACAAATCTACCAAACTATTGGAAACAAATCTACCTAACTGTTGGAAACAAATCTACCTAACTATTGGAAACAAATCTACTATATGTAAAATAAATCTTACCTTGATTCCATATCGTTTGGTTAGCGCATCAGAATCGTGATTCGGGGTAACTGTATTACCTACTCCACCTACAAAATCCTTATAAAGCTGTCATAATATCTTAGGAGTAGCTTGTCGGGCACGTGAAGAACGCATCGTGATAGAACAGGTGTGCAAACCGTAGTATGTTTTGACATAGAACTGTCTTCCATCTCCAACCGTGGAAGCTAGAACCCTCCAATTACATCCACCGACCCAACACCTAACCGTCAATAGCGTGGGCGTTGAGTGTCCCACGTCGAAGTCCATTTTATTGGCAACCACGTAGATCTTCAATCTCGTCTCGAACTCCTCTTTTGTGTCATAACATTGACCTACAGCTAACTCTACGGACTTCATTTCCAGCTCCACAGAATCATCCATTCTTGAGAAACCTCGTTTCTTTGGTGGCAGGTTTTGCATATCTTCTTCTTCATCTTCTGATTTCTTCCCACACTAATCGTAGTCTTCATCACTAGAACTCGCACCATCTGGATCTTCGCAATTGTCGTACCTTTCTTCTTCATCATCGTCATTATCTTCCTCATCTTCTTCAAATTCATCGTCTTCATTGTCTTCATCTACGAATGATTTACATCTTTTGCCGCTCAGATCAAGACCATTTGCTATCTTAGATTCATTCAACGCCTTTTCAGTAATCTCAATGCATAGACGAATCGTCTCGTTTTCAAAGTGACGGAGAAACCCAGAAAATTGTCGAGTATTTCCTACAAATATCGGTGGTGTATCTTTGGGTAGCTTTTGCATGTATTTCTTCGACAGCATATAGCTGAATTGCAGGTCAGATCGGCGCTGATCCAATCGAAATTCTTCATAAACAATTTGTAAAAAAATCTCCAAACCTGATTTCCCGATCAACAGCTACAACTCGACTTCCTTTGCTCTTATCAACTGACTATTCTGAAATTCCCATTTCCCACAAACTAAAAATATATCCACCATGCAAGAAGAAGACATGATAGAGGATGATAGAAACAGGAAAAAAAACCAAAAACAGGTAAAGAGAGAAAATCGGCGACGAACATAATGGCGGCGGCTACCCTAGAAGTAGTTGGTTGCGGTGGTTGGAACCCGAAAATTCATTAATAACTGCTGGATAAAAACGTCATTTCAAATCAATAAGTCTACTTTTATGAGATTAAATATGTCTACCAATTTTGTAATATGTCTATCAACATTTCATTATGTCTACCAACATCGAAGCTCGCTAATGATTTAAATGACTACTATATTATCAAATAAATTTATTTTCCATATATAAGTCTACCGTCCCCAAATATATCTATTAGATAGTCTCATATGTCTATCACATATTAATATTCGCTAAGGGAATTTTAAGTCTACCATTAAAACAACAAGTCTACCACACAGAAAATAAGTCTACTTTTTCAAAACAAATCTACTATCGATATTTACATCTACCATGCGTATAACAAATCTATCACGAATAAACTTTTTATATTGTAGTAGATTAATTTTTATTATAAATAAGTCTATTTTCTTGTCTAACAAGTCTACTATGAAAGTTAATAAGTCTATCGATTTTGGTCAAATCACATCTCATAAAGTCAACTCAACAACATTATATCTACCAACTTGAAAATAAATCTACTTAAAAAAAAAACAAGTCTACCAACACATTCAAATATCTATCAAGAATTTTAAGTCTACCTTTCCAGAAAAATAAATCTATCACTGTAAGTCTATCAACATCTAAACAAATCTATTTTTCGGAATATTAAGTCTACCAAATTTTATTAAGTCTATCGGCATATTTTTAAATCTACCAAAACTTATAAGTCTACCATTCATATTGGTAGATTTATTTGTCGATGGTCCATTTTAACGGCTGACGTGGAAATAATTTAATAAAAGCATTTTTGTAAATACGTTTTTTTCACCAAAGCTTTCCAAGGGTAAAATCGGGTTTTTAAAAAAAAGAAAGTTATTCTGCTAATTTCGAGAATGTAAGGTTGTTATACTAATTTCAGCTATTTTTAAGGTCACCATAGCAATACTCCCTTTTATTTATTTTGCTTCCATATTTTTGTGTGGAAATTAAGTTATTAAAGGTATATGTATTCCATAGTTTTCAAATAAAAGATGAAAGAAGCCACCAAGAAGCAGTGAGTCGAACCATCTCTAGCTTGAGAACTCAAACTAACCTTGCAAATGTAAACATAAAACATGAAAAACTGAGAGACACAAAACGTAATCTGAAGTGAGACTTTTACTACAAGCATAAATGCCTTTTGTCTCACTTTTTCCAGAGTAATACCACAACACTAAAAAAAACTTCAAAACTTAAAGGATCACCATAACACAAACTAATCTTATTCTTCGTCATCCTCACTGTCTTTGCTCTTCTTCTTCTTCTTCTTGTCCTTTTTCTTCTTCTTCTCACTATTCTCAGCCGCTGAGTCATCTTCACCATCAACAGCAGCTTCCTCTGCCTCTTTACTCTTCTTTTTCTTCTTCTTCTTCCCACTTTTCTCAGCTGCTGAGTCATCTTCACCATCAACAGTAGCTTCCTCTGCCTCTTTGCTCTTCTTTTTCTTCTTCTTCTCTGACTTTTCAGACTTTGGAGATGACAACTCTTCTTTATCCTCCTCTTTCTTCTCCTTCTTCTTCTTCTTCTCTTTCTTCTCAGACCCGACATCTTCTTCTGTATCCTTCTTCTTCTTCGACTTCACCTTCTCTTCGACCTCGCCTCCTTCAACTTCTTTGGTTTTAGCCTTCTTGGTTGAAACAGGAGCAGGGCTATCATTACCATCATGCTTGCGCTTACGAGCTTCCCCTGCTTCTCCATTCTCAGCCTCAACCTTCTTCTCATCCTTCTCAGGAGCAGCAGCAGCACCAGCAATCATAGCATCTCCACCGGTAGGCAAAACCACGTTCCTGCTCCACTCTACAGGAGTTTTCTCATTCGGCTTCCCGTGCTTATCCAGCTTCCCATCAGCAATAAGCTTCTTCTTCATCGAAGCTCTAGGTCCCAATCCCCACTTCCTCGGGTAAGTGTCTCTGTCCATGACCACCCGCTTGATCTTAGCAACCACACCGTGATCACAAGTAGCCATCACAGAAGTGGTCATCTCAGCGATCCCAACAGCAATGGCCTCTCCTTTAGTCGTCATCAGAACAACCTCGGTGCCAACATCAATGTCGTTCTCGAACCTCAACAGCCCCGGAATCATCAGCTTAGCACCATAACAGATTGCATTCACAGCTGAATCCTTGACGACGAGCCTCTTGTAGCTCGTCAATATCACCTCAAGAGGCATAATCACTCTCCTGAGATAAGCCTCATCATTGTGCTTGTCATGCATCCATTTGGCGTCCATGACATCATGCATTGTAACCATATTATCATTCTCACCCAAAATCCCAGACCTGACCCTCCTAAGCTCCTGCATATGGCCACCGACACCAAGAAGCAGACCCAAGTGAACACACATGGTCCTAATGTAAGTACCTGCCTCACAAGAAACCCAGAAAACAACCAAATGCCTGTCCGCATCATACTCAAGCAGCTTGCTTTGATAGATTGTCCTAATCCTAAGCTGTCTCTTCACGGCAGAGATGAGAGGAGGCCTCTGAAACACAGCTCCGGTGAGCGATTCGAGGGCTCTAGCGACTTTAGCAACATCGGGAACAGCAGAGTGAAGCCGAGCTACACAGACGTACTCTTTACCGGCGCCTTGCTGCGATTTCACAAGCCGTGTGGCTCGGTCGATGCAGACAATGAGGTTTCCGGTGACCTTAGGGTCAAGAGTGCCACTGTGACCAGTCTTCTCCACACGGAGGATACGCTTGATCCAAGCAACGACCTCGTGAGAAGAAGGGTTCGCTGGTTTGTCGAGATTGATTATACCGTACCTGATGTAGTCTTGAATTGGACGCTTCAGGGGAGAGTGACCGGCGGCGATGGGAGTGTAGTGGCCGGTACGGACGTTGAGAAGGTTGTAGTTCTTGAGGAGGATTGGCCAGTTGGATGTATCGATGGCTGGAGTGAAACTCTGCGGCTTGATCATGTAGTCTCCGGTGTCGGCATCTTTCTCCGAGCGCGATTGTTCGACCTCCGTCATGGCTCTCCGGCTGAAATTAGGGTTTTCTGCTCGGTAAGAGGGATTTTGAAAAATGGAGGAAAGAGAGGCGTCGTGTACCAGAGTTAATTTATACTGAGTTAAGGTTTTTTAGGGTTTTAGGTGACAAGAGAGGGACGACGGATGACATTGGAAAGATTGAAGAGACTTCTTCTTGGGCTTTAATTGGGTTTCTTAATTTTAAATTGGGCCTATAATGTGTTGTTACAATTAAGAAATTTAGTATAGAACAGTAGTATATTGAGTAGTCATCACGAGTTTCAAGTTGATGGGCTATGACTTATGATGAGTAGAGCTTCTTTGTTCTTTGTAACTCGCATCCTCCGGAACAGCCAATTTTCTCTTCTTCTTTAGGTTTAGTAGGATTAGATTCTCCAATCACAGGATCTCTCTCTCTCAATTTAAACTTGGATTTATTATTCTATTCATGATTGATAAGTTTTGTAATATACTTAGATCCAGTGGCAGAGCTACAATAAATTTTTAGGGGGTCAATATTAATTTCTTTTCTTTTAAGGGGTAAAATGAAATTTAATTTTACACACAGGGATCAATATAAATACTTGGAATCATATAACCTATAAAATATAAATAAAAAATATATTTTTAAAATTTCACAGGGGTCAACTGACCCACCCTTCATTACACACTAGCTCCTCCACTGTTTAGATCCATAACTCAGTCTAATGCAAAAATATATCTTGTTACCTATTGAGGTTATAAGGATATCTTTCTTATTTTTTAGAGATTTAGTGTTATCTAATATGTTAATATTCCTAGTCGGTTTAGGCACATTCTTGTATATAAATATTTTATAATGTGAATCAATACAAACACCTTTACCTAAAATATTTCATCAACAATAAAAGCTATTGATTTAAGAAAATAAAATTATAATTTCATCATGCAGAATGTTTCTTTGGGGTCAAAAGTGTGTTGTTGATGTGTTATGTCGTTTACTCGCTTAGTTAGAATTTTCACAATAGCATGACCGCATGAGTTTATCTATCATTTTTATTATATCATCATACGAATTGCCGCAATTCATTTTTGGAGAGGAGATAGACCTAATCTTCCGATGGCATTTCTTCTTTGCCGAAAATACGGCACTTCATTGGAGAGGCGGTCAACTATACGCATGAACAAATCCTTGTTCATCCTAAAACGGCGGCGGAATATATGTGGCGGGTAAGTAGCATCATCACTGAAATAATCGTTCCATAACCGGTAGTGGCCTTGTTCACGCTCTCTTTCAATGTATGCTCTTTTTTTCTTTTTCTTTTTTCTGCATCTTGGTTGACGATAGAATTGAACATTAATTCAAACTTCTGATCAAAGGCATCATCAAATGCATCATCAAATGCATCATCTAATGCATCATCATATGCATCATCCAATCGATCATTGCTTGATGATGCTGCCATTATCAATTTTTTTAGATGTTTGTGATTAGAGATAAGGAGAGAAAGAGTTTGAGAATAGAATTTGACCAAGTATCAGATTTCAAAAGTTTTTTGTGTTGTGTAGAAAGTCAAAAGTTTAGTTGGGAAGAGAGTTGTGTTTAGCAAAGGTTGAAGAAATTTTTTTTTTAAGGGAAGATGGAATGAAATGTTTAGAACAATATGAGGAAGAATGAAATTTGGCTACAATGCTACGAATGAACATATAATTGTCTGAACACATATAAATACACGGCCGATAGATAAAAGATGTGGCTACAAAGCTAGTTGGCTAACATATGGTCAATATTACAAGATAAAATATGCGGTTACAAGGGAAAACAACAAAAGCATTTGGCCCCTCCAAAGTAGAGCATATGGTCACGGACGCATCCTGAAAAGCAACTTGCTGTGACACATCCTGCAAAAAACACGTGAAGGTCAGAAGCAACAAAAATCAAAAGCTAAGCTAAGCAAAGCAAAGTACAACGAAAATAAAGAACAATCATACATAAGCACATATTCTCTCAAAGATACGAAATAGAAGTTCATACTTAAGGAAAAGAAACAATCACAAAGCAAAGGTCTTACTAAAACAACAGCACTAAGTAAACAAAAAAGCAAAAACACGAAAGTCCAAACCACTGATAAGTTCTAACCTAAAGACCATACATAGCACTGATTAACTTGTTTTTCAATGCGATTTCAATATCAGTTAGCGGTTCAGGCTTAGCTAAAAGGCTCTCAAGAATCCTCTTGTCCCTAATCTTGTCTTTCAATTCAAGGTCCTTTTGTTTCATGTCCCACATGGAAGAAAAATCCTTCATATCTTTGCTTTCAGCCTTCACGCCGCCTGTTTTCTTCGCATTGGCCTTCGAAGCCTTGACACCGGGCGGGCGAGCCTCCACTTCATTATCATTGACGCTTCTAGGCATTGACGATGACGACTGTGCCGAGTCTTCCACTCTTCTTTTTTTTTTATGATGCACCATCCTTTGTTGAGCTGGTCGTGCACCATTTCTGATCGAACCTCAACTCTCTCCAGGCGTGTTCGAGTGCAAACTTAATGCCATAGTCATTGAAAAAAATTTCATGCGCAAGCTTCATCACATCGTTGTCATTCTGACCGCTACTTCTTTCCTTCTGTGCAGCTGCGTAAGAACCCACAAATTTACAGACATGGTCATTCAGTCTTCCCCATCGTTGCTTATACTGCGCCCATTCTCTTCTTGGCAGACCTACAAGCTCTGGGCATGCGTTGTGATAGACCTGGATCCTCTTCCAAAACGCACCGGCCTTTTGCTCGTTGCCAACTATTGGATCCTTGCTGGTGTTGAGCCACGCACTAATCAGGAGCAAGTCTTCCTTCGGACTCCAGACTTTTCTCTTCAATGCAATATCAGAAGGATCATCAGATCCTTGTGTGCTAAACAAGAGAACGTCTGATGATCCTAAGTCTATGCACGGAGAGTAAGTATCAGGGGTTAACTGACTACTTAAAAGATGAACAAACCCTTCAGAGGGCGTAAACGAGTTCTGAGAATCCATGTGAATGAAAGAAAGTGTTTCAGAAAGGAAGTGAAGAGAGTGACTGAATAATAGAGTGAAAGAAATAATAAGCGAAAGGAAATAAAGAGAGTCACCGAGTAACAGAGTGAATGAAAGATTGAAATGAGTGAAGAGAAATCGATTGAAAGAAAGAGTATCAGATAGTGGAAGCGTGAAAGAAAGAAAGAAGAGAGTGAAAGAGTAAAACAGAGTAAAGGTTTTTGTAAAAAGAGAGTAAATAGATTTATGGTTGAGTATCTTTTAAGTGTCTTTATGATAGTGGTTATTTGTCTTTTAAGTGTTGGTTGAGTCTCTTTTAAGTGTTGGTTGAGTCTCTTTTTTAATTTATGGTTGAGAGTATTTAAGAGAGATTTCAAGTTTTCGAACAGGTTTTTGAGTTTTCGTACAAGGTGTTTATTATTACCTAAACCTAACATGTCATATCAAGCATTAAAAACACCTAAACAACGTCTCAAACACACAAACTATTCCTGTTCCAACTAAAACCTCAACAACCTATCGGTTAAAAGAGAGATTTCAAGTTTTCGAACAGGTTTTTGAGTTTTCGTACAAGGTGTTTATTATTACCTAAACCTAACATGTCCTATCAAGCATTAAAAACACCTAAACAACGTCTCAAACACACAAACTATTCCTGTTCCAACTAAAACCTAAACAACCTATCGGTTAAAAGAGAACTAACCTTGTTTGTTGAACCATATGTCATCGGTGAACCATATGCCATGAAGTCCAACCCTTGTCCCCGTAGAGTCCAAATGATCCTCACAAAAAAAGATTAAAAGAGACCATTAAGACATACATTACTTGAGCCGAATGTTAAATAGTTAACTTGACACTACTTACTAGAGAGTCAATGCTAGCCGGCTTCCTAAACCCTACAGATATATGCGAACAATGCAATAACACAAAAAAAGAACACCATCGATAGAGTTTCACCTTGAGTACCAATGTGGTCCTTCAAAAAACGCACTTCTCCCAGAAGCCTTGCTAGCTCCTCACGGACTTCTTCCTGAAGCCTTGCTAGCTCCTCACGGACTTCTCCTATGGCTGGATCAACAGAGTGCATTCTTCCCCGATCAACAATGACGATCATGTTCTGCTGCTTTTCTATCCTTGTCGCGAGGATTTCACACTGTTCAGTGACCACGTGATCCCACCATTGGTGAATGTGGTCAAAAGAGCCCTACATTCATTACAAACTATTAGGAAATAAAAATGCAGATTGAACTTCAAACAAAGTAACTGACACAACTTACCTCATTAATCCATTACGGGCAAGAATAATACTTGCGCCCGGCTTCATTTTCTTTGAGCTTCACAACCCGGCCACAGAAGCACTTCTCCAGGATGCCATACGTGGCATCCGCGTAAGCCCAATAAGGCACCTCCGAACCTTCCTCAGATGAACCGTTGCTGTACCTTGGCATTCTCTGTCCACAAAACAAAATGATCAGTACTATACAAGCATAAAAGCTACATAACATAAAAGCTACATAACATAAAAGCTACATAACATAAAAGCTACATAACATAAAAGCTACAAAACCTATAAAAGCTACAACCAAAGACATTTGAGTTAATCATCTGAATATGTAAACACGAAAACAATACCTCAAAACTGTAGCACCCTAACCCGGATTTCCGTTTTGAACTAACACTTAGTCAAATTTTCATCCGGATTTTTACTTAACATTTTTCGCAATAGGTTCGTTTAGATAACTTTAGCCGTGCATAAGTAGATTAAAAACAGAATACTTGAATTAAATCGAGGTTCTCAGTACAATGATCGTTCGCATAAAGCTATTACATTGACTAAGCCCTTAACTACCCGATCCTACCATCCATCCCGATCCAGCCATAGTCCGCGCGCTGATCAGACCTCTTTACCTGCATCCACAAAGGAGGCATAAGCAAACAGAATGCTTAGTGAGAGCGGTCATCCCGTCCCACCAGGCCAAAGTATAATCGTATCAAACAAATACCGAGCCCAATGCTCATCAGAAACAGAAAACTGCCCGTGGTGAACATACGCGCTTACCCGGCCGATCATCCAGCGACCAGACAAGCCTCGGCGGACTACACAGCCGCGAGCGGCTTGCCTGATCTAGGTCGCCGGTAAGGCGGATCGATCACACGGCATAGCCAGCAGAAATTTCATGACAAGCACAGAACACGCAACCGACCAGAATCTAAGCAAGAATACGACCAACAGGCCACGGTCACGCACTCACCTTAGCTTTTATCGGTCAGAATTCGGTAAGGACAGAGATCGCGATTGATCAGACTCGTTCCCACAATCGCTCTACAGAATCCGGACCACGCTCGACAGAAATGCACTCGCTCTCGGCCAGAATCCGATCGCTCTCGGCCAAACAGACTTTCTCTCGGCTAACTGCTCTTAAGAATATTTCTCTCAATCTTTCTGAATTCTTTTGGGTCGCACGAAGAGAATAAATGATCCGGAAGCCTTCATTATATAGGCGTTTCCACGATTTTCCGCAGAAAACCGCCCAAAAACCGTTCCCGCGCCATTCCGCACGTTTTCCCCACGATCCGCACGATCCGCTAAGTTTTCGCGTGCTTCCGCACGACCAATAACCGTTCCCGCGCAACGCCAGCTCGGCTATATCCGTAACCGTTTCCGCGCTCGCGCCTTAGCACGTCTTTACCCGATAACCGCTCCCGCGCACCCCCGATCTCGACCAAGGTTGTCTGTTCCGGACCAACCTTGTCCGAAATCCGACCCAATCCCGAAAATCTCGGCTTGTCGGAATTTCCCAGCTAAAATTCCCGAAATCCGCGGCGAGCTGATTTCAGCCCGGCGACACTTCGCCTCGGCTCGGCCAAACTTGATTCAGCCCGGCAAAACCTGATTTAGCTCGGCAAAAGCTGGACTTAGCTCGGAATCACCCGACTGAATCCAGTTTCACCCGACTAAACCCATTTTTCCGACTTTTCCCAGTTTTTCCCGAACTCGGGTGTTACAAGTCTCCCCCACTTATGGTGAGACTCGTCCTCGATTCTCCACTCTTCCTCGGCTTTTCTTTCTTCTGCTTGGGTTGCTTCTCAAACCACTTAGGAAACTTTTCTTTCATACTTGATTCCGGCTCCCAAGTAGTTTCCTCTTCCCCATCGCAATCCCAAACAACCTGAACCATCTTAACTTGCTTTCGGCCCACAACCTTTACCCGATGGCCTACAATCCGAACTGGCCTACCCACTACGGACAAGTTTTCCTGCAAGTCCGGTGGAGGTTCGGATGTAATGGAATCCTCATTCCTTACGCATTTCCTTAACTGAGATACATGAAATACATTGTGGAATGCGACCAAGGCTGGTGGCAATTCCAGCTTGTAAGCAACCGGCCCGATCCGTTCCAGAATCCTGTACGGTCCCATGTACCTCGGCTGAAGCTTACCCGTCGCAGCAGCCCGGTCCTTACCTTTGTAAGTGATCAGCTTGACAAAGACTTGATCACCGACCTGGAACTTTAACTCTTTTCTCCGCCTATCCGCATAACTTTTCTGTCTGTTCTGAGCCTCTTTCATCTTGAGTTTCAAAACTCTGATCCGTTCGGTCGTCTCTTCCACAAAGTCTCGACCAAATATGCTGTGCTCCCCCACTTGGGTCCAGCATAGCGGTGTACGACAAGGCCGTCCATACAACGCTTCATAGGGCGACATTCCAATGCTCGCCTGGTAACTGTTGTTGTAGGAAAACTCTGCCAAAGGCAAGTAATCCTTCCACTTACCGCCCCAATCCAACACACAAGCCCGCAACAGATCCTCCAACGTCCTTATGGTCCGTTCTGACTGACCATCGGTCTGAGGATGGTAAGTCGTGCTCATATGGACCTTAGTCCCGAACCGCTTCTGCAAAGCCCTCCAGAATGCCGACGTGAACCGCGAGTCTCGATCTGACACAATACTCGCCGGCACACCGTGCAGCTTGACGATCTCATCCACATACAGCTTGGCTAAGGCATCCGCCTTATCGTGCTTGTTCACGGCCAAGAAGTGTGCAGACTTAGTCAACCTATCCACAATGACCCAGATGGAATCCATCTTCCCACACACTGGCAATCCGGTCACAAAATCCATCGTGATCATGTCCCACTTCCACTCGGGAATCGGTAAGCTTTGCAACAAGCCGCTTGGCACTTGATGCTCGACCTTAACCAATTGACAGGTTTGACACCCGGCCACCCATTCAGCCACATCCCGTTTCATTCCGACCCAGTGGTAATACCGCTTAAGGTCCTGATACATCTTCGTCGATCCTGGGTGAACCGCGAACTTAGAATGGTGAGCTTCCCTCAAGATTTCTTTCCTTAACTCCTTATCGTTTGGTACCGAGACAAACAAGTAACTACTAAACCCTAAACAATCGATAATATCATATACTTATCACTACAGACAATGTAAAACAGAAAGAACATTTCAGTTCACACGATTATCATAAATATGAACCACCAAATGATTTAAAAGCCAATCGAGAATCAAAAAAATCAACCACCATATGATTACAAGCCAATCAGAAACACAAGATTAATCATATCAACTCACACGATA